GGCGGGTGGAGGATTACAAGTAAGTCCAAACTGCGCCATTTAACCACTTAATAAGACCCTGTCTCAAAATTAAGACGAAAAAGGCCTGAGGATGGTGTGGGTCAGTAGGATGGCCCAGGTTCAATCCCCAGTACTGGGAGGAGAAAAAAAGGTTGTATGTGACAAGAGAGTGATGGTATACACCTATAATCTCAACTACAAGGGAGACTGAGGCAGGAGCATTGCAAGGTGAAGGCTCATTTGGACAACTTAAGACACTGTCTCAAAGTTTTTAATTTTTTTAACAGGAACTGGGAGTGTAACTCACTAGTAGAGTATTTGCCTAATATGTGTGAGAGTCTGGGTTTAATCCCCAGTACTGCAAGAAAAACAATTTACATATATGAGACAAGATGAATTGAAGGCATAGGTCAAGCTTTGTGTTAAGGAGATTTTATTCTGAATGAGAGAGTGATTTGTTCCAACTTTATTAATGGATTTGAGGAGGATGCAGGAAAGAGGAAGTTGTTTTAGTAGTCAGGCAAAGAAATGAAGGTGACAGGGACAGGGTATAGGGGTCCAGGATTAAGAGACATAAATGTATTCAGGATATAGTTCGGAGGGCCAGGGATATAGCTCAGCGGCACAAGCACCTGCCTGGCAAGTGCAAGGTCCTGAGTTTGATTCCTGGTACCAAAAAGAAAAAGAAAGAAGAAAAAAAAGGAAAACTATGGCAAGATTTGTCCCTCCAAGTTGAAAATATTCAGAAAGAAAAATTTGTCTGTCCTGAACATGTATGGACTTTTTTTCTTGTCCCTAACAGTATAGTATAACAAGTAGTTTTTATATTCTATTAGGTATTATATGTAATCTAAGGAAGGGTTAAAATATATAAAATGGAGGGGATGGTACGTGTAGGTTTTGTTTGTGTGGAGGGTGGAGGTTTGTTTGTTTTGAGACAGGATCACATATAATTCAGGAGGGCCATGAATTTACTATGTAGTCCAGGCTAGTCTGGCTTCTCCTACTTCAGCCTTCCGAGTGCTGAGACTACAAATGTGTGCCACCATGCCCAGCTACATGTAATTTATATGTAAATATTATACCACTTTACATAAGAGATTTAAGCATCCATGGATTTCAGTATCTATAGGGGTCCTAGAGCCAATTCCCTGTGGGTACTGAGGGACAACTTAGGTATATGATAGAATAAAACAAATACTATTATATTATTTAAAATTGTTGAATTTTAACAGAGAATTAGTAGATGTTAATTGTAGTAAATCACACTTTCAGTATTTAGAGACAGTAGTTCATAATAAAAAAGAGAACAGAAGCTGAACATGGTGGCACACACCTGTAATCCCTGCTCCCTGGGAGGCTGAGGCAAGAAGATTGCAAGTTCAAGCCCAGCCTGGGCAGTTCAGCAACTTAGCAAGACCTTGTCTCAAAACAAAAGATAAAAAGAGCTGGGGATGTAGCTCAGTGAGAAAACTATAGGTTCTATCCCCAGTACCCTCCTCCAAAAAATAAAGCAAAAATATTTTCCCCGTTCCTGAGAACTAAGAAATGGAACAGTAGCTATGGGGAATGAATGAAAAGCAGTGCTCACAGGATCTGGCTTAGTCTGAGTGAATTAGAAGTGATGAGATTTCGGAAACTATTTCTACCTGGCTGTTCTTAGCTAACAAAATTGTAAATCAACACTATCAAAATGTTACCGCCATCCTTGTGTTCATTCATAGTGACTAATCTGCCACTAGGTACATGAGCAAAATGACAGGCAGGATTTAACCAGTTTCTCTTGTTATCTTTGATAAGAAGCTTGAGTCAGCTAAGTTTTCGAAGAACATTTTTGAAATATTTAGTTGCCATTTCTCCATATTGGGGGTTGAACCTGAGGGCCTTCAAACTGAGCTATATCCCAGCCCTTTTTATTATAAGACAAGGTTTTGCTAAGTTTCCTAGGCTGGTCTAGAACTTGGGATCCTCCTATCTCAGCATCTTGAGTAACTGGGCTCACAGGTGTGTATCACCACACCTAGCTAAAACGTCAAGATTTGTTGATCTGTATCCCTCTCCCTGTCCTGGTACCCCTCCCCTCACTCTCTCTCCCCTACTTTTCCCTCTCTCCCCCCTCTCTTGTTTTTGTTTTTACTTTTTGAGACAGGGTCTCACTGTGTAGTCCAGGCAGGCCTTGAACTCACTATCCTCCTGCCTCGGCCTCAAGTGCTGAGATTACTGGCATCTGCCACCGTGCACGGCTAATCTCTCTTAAGTATTGTATATTGTTTTCCCACTCTTCAGATTCTGATGTTGTGTTTGTGTTTATACTTTGGGAGAATTTTGATTTAATTAATTCTGATGATGTAGGCATTGGTCCACACGTGAACTTCATTTTTGTGGTTTGTTGGATTTGTGGCCTAGGAAGAGAACTCACTAAAGAAAGACTTGCACTCTGAATATAGATTCCTAAAAATTGGATGCAGTAGGTGAAGTGGGGCACTCTTTTAAGCAACAGGGAGCAAATGCAGAGTCCTCTTTGATTCAAGGTTCCACTTTAACAACAAATTTTCAATTGCTTCTGTTCATATTACTGTTAGAAAATTATCACTAATTCTTAAGTTAAAATCACTGTTAGTAATTAGATCTAGATAGGCAGAAGCTAGTCAAAGGTCAGAAATCAAATTGAATGGAATTATACTGTACCTCTGTTTGGGGGATGCAAAGTAGGTATTAGAGGATTAGAGGTTGAGTGAAAAGAGGACTGTGTAATTAGACACCTGGATCCTAGTTCTAGCTTCAGAATTTAAGATGTGAATGATTTTGTTCAAGCCGCAACACTTTTGAGTCTGTTTTTTTAGCTGTTACAATGTGTGTATTGCTACTGATTTATCCTTTTTGTTGATTGTTACAGGACTTAGGTCCTATGTGTGAAAATATTTTTAATTATTGTCCTCAAACCAAGAACTTATAATAACTGATTTCACCCTAACACTTGTCCAGTTTGATCAGCACAGTGTTATAAAAATTGAGTATGAATGAGCCAGACATGGTAGTACACATTTGTAGTCCCCAGCAAGCACTCAGGGAGGCTGAGAAAGGATGATTGCAAGTTAAGAGACCAGGCTGGGCAGTTTAGCAAATTAATGAGAACTCATGTCTCAAAAACAAAAAAAATATAAAAGGCTAATGATATATTTCAGTGCAAATCCCCTGGGTTCAGCCCCAGTTACACTCACCCTCCTGGAAAAAAAAAAAGCAGCCAGATATGGTGGCACACATCTATAATTGCAACACTCGGGAGGCTGAGGCAGGAGGATCAATTTGAGTTTGAGGCCAGCCTGTGCTACAAAGTGAGTTTGAGGCCAGCCTGAACTACATAGCAAAATACCTTATCTCTCTCTTTTTTTTTGTACCGGAATCAAACTCAGGACCTTGTGCTTGCCAGGCAGGTGCTTGTGCCGTTGAGCTATATCCCTAGCCCTAAAACACCTTATCTCAAAACAAAAAAATAACAAAAAGACAACTGTGGGACCAAGCATGGTGGCACATGCACCAAGCTACTTGGGAAACTGAGGCAAGAGGTTAGCAAGTTTAAAGCCAGTTTAGCCAACTTAGTAGACCCTATCTCAAAATAAAAAGGGCTAGAAATGTAACTCAGTGGTAGGGGACCCCTAGATTTGGTTCCCAGTAATGCAAAAAACAAAACAGCAAAAAAATTTTTGGGCTGAGAGAGTATAGCTTAATGGTAGGGTGCCTGTCTTCCATGCACAAAGCCCTGGGCTTAGTCCCCAGCACTGAAAAGAAAAGAAAGAAACTAGAAATAGCCAGACATGGTGGTGCATGCCTATAATCCCAGCACTTGGGAGCCTGAGTCAGAAGGATCATTGCAAGTTCAATACCAGCCTAGGCTACAAAGTGAGCTCAAGGCAGCCTGAACTGCATAGTGAGACCCTGCCTCAACAACAACAAAAAAAAACCAAGAAATTAGAAACAAAAACCTCAAAATGTTCAATGTACCAGTGTTTTATTTATTTATTTATTTATTTTGGTGTTTTTGTTTTTCTCCGGTACCGGGAACTGAACTCACGACCTTGCGCTTGCCAGGCAGGCGCTTTGCCACTAAGCTAAATCCCCAGCCCCTGTACCAGTGTTTTAATGGAGCACCACTGTGATCTTGCTACTCACTAGCATGTGACCTGAGTCTAATTGTTTGATCTATTTATTAGGAGCTGAATTAGTTTACTAGGACTACCATAAAGTACCACACACAAACTTAAACAACTAAAACTTACAGTTCTGCAGGTTAGAAGTCTGAAATCAAAGTGTCAGCAGGGTTGGCTTCTTCTGAGGCCTCTCTGTTTAGCTTCTAGATAGCTGTCTTCCTCATGTTCACACAATGTTCTCCTTTTCTACTTTTTTTATTAATTTTAATTTTTATCTTTTTGAGACAGGGTCTCACTATGCAGTTCAGGCTGGACTTGAACTTCTTTATGTAGTAGCCCAGGCTGGCCTCAAACTCACATCTATCCTCCTGCCTCAGCCTACCAAGTGCTGGGATTACAGTTGTGCACCACCATGCCTGGCTTCATATCTTCTTAAAAGTGCATTATTATTGGAATAGGACTTCATTTATCCTTTATTACTTCTTTAAAGATTTTGTCTCAAGAAAAAAAAAGATTTTGTCTCCAAATATAGTCATATTCTGAGGTACTAGGGATTAGGATTTCATCAGATAAATTTTGAGGGACTGCCTTTCAGCCATTAGAGGGCATGTATCACTTTTGTATTATTGTTGCTAATTTCCTGGTTCTAATTCCTTAGAAAATGAAGAGAGCTAAATTCTAGACATGGCAATGTTAGATATTTATTCCTTAGAAATATAGGGTATAATTAAGAATTAACAATATCCAACAGCTATCTGAAACAGACTCTACAAAACTTTATCATATGTAAATATTCCCAATCCACTTCCAGTAGAAAAGGGCATGTGTGATGGAAAAAGCCCTCTAACCTACCTGCTGGAGTATCTTAAGTGGCAGCCCAGTCATTTGGTTACTGATGGCAGATGTGTTTCTGCAGATGTTCATCCTTCCAATCTAATTTTCCTGCCTACTTCCCCAGTGATGTCATAAGCAAATGTTTGTGATAGTTTCTTATCACCATGGTTACTGAAGAGGCAAAGTCTGATTTCCCTTCCAGCTTCATTACTATAGCTGCTGGGAGAGCCCAGGCTCAGCGTAATGAAAAACCATGTGTCAGGTAACAGGGAATAGTATTCCAGACACCTGCCTTTAAGAGTCTGTACTTATAGTCTTCAGGCACTAGTGTGAGCAAGGACCCATAGGGAGGGCACTACAGTTTCTTAGGTGATAGTGGTGGTTCTGGTTCTCTTCCTCTTCCTCCTCTTCCTCAGTGATGGTTCTGGTTCTCTTCCTTTTCCTCTTCTTCCTCTTCTCCATCTCCTTTTCTTCCTCTTCATCTTTCTTCTTCTTTTTTTCCTTCTTCTTCTTTTGGCTTTGCCAAGTGCATGTCAACGCTTCAACCCTTCTGCTGCTGTAGATTCCCTCAGCTACTTCATTGAATGACCAAGGGTACTTCTCTGAAGTTTCATTTTCTCAATATCTGTAACTCTAAAATTCAGCTCTCTCTTCAGCCTCCAGTTTCAGTTCTCTTTTATTCAGGGTCCCTTATAGACTACTGCCCCTCCTCCTATTTATGTACTACTTTATTCCATTCTTAGTCCCCAGGGTGAACTCCTGCTTAAAGAATCAGAACCAGCTCAAATCTTATGTTTGGAAGGTTTCTTTTAAACTTTTATCACAGTTACTCCTGTCCCTTCAGGAAAAGGGCAATAATATAGTTAATGGTCTCCTTCTCCTCCTCCTCCTCCACCACCACCTGTCTATAAAAATGTAAATTTTTATCCCTTTTACAATACTGTTGGTCATTATTTCAGATTATAGTTGAGAAGATGGAAAATAGCTATAAGGGAAAAACAGGATAATGAAGCTTCAGGCCCTTCTATCATTTTAACACAAGCAGCTTCACTTTTTAAATATTGGGATTCTGTGTTAGACTCAGTCTGAAGAAGTACAATGCAATTTTTAAAATACACTGTTGGAAGGGCTGGGGGGTATGGCTCATTGGCAGAGCACTTCCCTAGCAAGTGCGAAGTCCTGAATTCCATCACAAACACTGCTGGGAAAAACCTCCATAAAACACATTAGATTAAAATATATGTTAACTAAATTTGCCATTTTAGCCAGGGTTTTTTTGGGGGGTGGCTACTGGGAATCAAACTCAGGTCCTCCTGCTTGCCAGGCAGGCACTGTGCCACCGAACTATATCCTCGGCACCCCCATTTTAGCAGGTGTGTGTGTGTGTGTGTGTGTGTGTTTGGTACCGGGAATTTGGTACTGAGGTACCTTGCACTTGCCAGTCAGATGCTTGTGCCACTGAGCTACATTCCCAGCCCTTAGCAGTTTTTAAATGTTTGATTTAGTGGCATTGATTATATTTACAGTGTTATATAACCACCACTATTTCCACATGCCACCAAATAAAAATTAGAACCAAATCAAATTCATTGGTTAGGTTCAGTGTTCACCTTATAGGGAAATATGATTTAGTTCTCATCCAGTTTAGTCTGCAACAAGAATCATGGCATGAATTAACGTTCGTGAACCAAGGTACCACTGTAATAACTTCCCATTGTCCCCTACCCCCAGGACCTAGTAACCACTAATCTACTGTCTGTCTGCATGAGTTTGACTACTTACTCTAGGTACCTCATAAGTGGGGTCATATAATTTCCTTCTTTTTTTTTTCTTGTTTCACTTGGCATACTATGTTCAGGTTTCATCCATGTTATAGCATGTATCAGACCTTATAGCTGAGTAATACTGCATGGTATATGTTTAGCACATTCTGTTTATTCATTTGTTATTTCTACCTCTTGGCTAAAGCTTCATCAAACATTGAATATAAGTATGTCTCTTGTTTTGAGTCTCTTAATTTTCTGTTTAATTTTTTTAGGAACTGCCATATTTTCCACAACAACACCTTTTTTTCTTTTCCTTTTGATTTTGTTTTGTTTTTTGAAATAAGGTTTCACTATGTAGTAGACTGGCTTTGATCTTACTGTATTTCCCAGGCTGGCCTTAAGCTCAGCCGTCCTCCTGCCTTGGCCTCCTGAGTGCTGGAATTACAGGTGTGCACCATCACACCAGACTAAGCTGCACCATTTTATATGTTTACCAGCAATGCACCAGATACCAATTACTCCACATCCTCACCTGCACTTGCTTTTGTTTTACTATTCTCATTCCATCCTAGAGGGTATGAAGTGATATCTTACACTTTTGATTTACATTTCCTAAATGTCTAATGATGTTGAGCATCTTTTATATAATATGCACATTTTTGGCCATTTGTGTATCTTCTTTGGAGAAATGCTTATTCATATTCTTTGTTTTTAAATTGTCTTTTTGTTGTTCATCTGTAAAAGTTCTTTATATTCTGGATATGAACCTATTGTGAGGTATAGAATTTAGAAATACGTTCTTTCATTCTGTCAGCTACTGTTCACTCTGTGGTTTATGTGGTACTGAGGACTGAATGGAGGGCCTACCCACTAAAGTATGTTCCAGCCCTTTTTCTTTTTTTTTGTTTTTTGAGACAGGATCTCGGTAATTTGCTAAATTGCCCAGGCTGAGCTCAAATTTGCCATTGTCCTGTTTCATGCTCCCAGACTGCTGAAATTAGAGGCATGTGCTACTGCAGCTTTTAAAAATTCTTTATTTTTCTTTCATTTTTGAAAATATTTTCATTGGTGTATTAGTTTTTCATTACTACAATGAAATACTTGAGGTGAGGTAATTTTATAAATAAAGAATGTTTATTTAGTTCACAGTTTGGGAAATTCAAGGGCACTGTCCCTGCATCAGCTCAGCTCTGGTGAGGACCTCATGTCAGATGGTATTACAGAGGTGGAATACATGAAAGGGAAAGATCATGTGGCTACAGGACACCAGAGAGTAAGTAGTTCAGTGGTCAGGCTTAGGCTTTTACGAGAACCCACTCTTTGCAAAGTATGTTAGTGCACACCTGTGATCCTCTCACTCTGGGAAATAGAGACAGAAAGATTACAAGTTCAGGCTCAGCCTGGTCAACTTAATGAAACCTTGTCTCAAAATTAAAAAGTGCTGGGAATATAGCTCTGGGAAAGCCCTGGGTTCAATCCCTAGTACTGGGGGGGCGGGGCGCGGGTACAGTTTATAGGAAGTTATGTTCTGCTCATTTGGTCAGTTTTATCAGTTTAAGGCTTGTTTTAAAGTTTCATTAGTAGCCTTTTCTTAGTTCAATCCCACTATGAAGTCATGGCCTTTCTAAGGTCTTCACTGAATGCTCACAGGATCAGTGAGGAATCTCCACTTTGAGTCACGAATTGTGTCCCTAACCCCGTGTGAGCTTTGAAACAGTTTATAGTTCCTCAGTTGCCCTTTGCCTGACTTGTGGAGTTTCACCCTGCATATGTACATCCTTAATCTTCAGCAAAGGATTAGGGAATTCCAAGCAGATATCCCAAGCTGTTTTTTATTATTGTTGGTGGTGCTCAACCCAGGCCCTTGAGCAGTTCTTTTTCTGTGTATGTCCCTCGTCTTTAGAATTCTTTCTCAAAATTCATAGCTACCTCAGTCTCCTTGAACTGTGTGGTCTCCATCTTCAAGGAGTAAGATTTCTATGCTTTGTGTAGTACCCCATTCCCTGTGCTAGATTGTGCCTCCAGGCAGAAAGCCAATGAGATAAGTAAGGCTCACTTCAGTTGTTTCTGCTGTGATCACAGTTCTGTATCATTTTTTTGCCAGTGTCCGAATCAGTTTACAATAGCAAGGTAAATTTGATCCCTGTTATTCCATCATGGCTAGAAACAGAAGTGATAGCTATGTTAATATCCAACAAAATGAGACAAAGCATTGTTAAAGAAAACTTGCCTCTTTTTTTTTTTTTTTTGAGGCAGGGTATTGCTATACATTTCAGGCTGGTCGTGAGCTCCCTATGTACCCCAGGCTGTGCTACCACATCTGGCTAACTCGCTTTATTTTAATAAACTGATCAATTTATCAGCCAGATACTACAGTTCTAAATGTGTATACCCCTAATGAAATAGTGTTAAAAATAAAGCATCTGGGCATGGTGGCAAATGTCTGAAATCCCAGCACTCTGGAGGCTGAAGCAGGAGGATCACTATCAGTTCGAGGCCAGTGTGGACTACACAGTGAGACCTCTCTCAAAAACAAGCAAACAAAATACATCAAAATAAAACTTCAGAGTGAAATGGATATATTCAGTATTGATAAATTAAAAAGCAAAGCAGAAGAGTTGAACAGTGACAATTTAATATGATATACAGAACTCTGTGCATTATAGAACACAAATTGTCCTCAAGCACACATTGAACCATTAATTAAGCAAAAAAGGAACTCTCACCAGGCATAGTGGCACATGCCTGTAATTCCAGCACTCGGGAGGCTGAGGCAGGAGGATCGCTGTGAGTTCCAGGCCAGCCTGAACTGCATAGCGAGACCCTGTCTCAAAAAGTAAAAAAGAAAAGACTATCCAGCACTGGGCGTGGTGGCACATACCTGTGATTGCAACACTCCAGAGATTGAAGCAGGAGGGTTGGGAGTTCCAGGCCTGCCTGGTTTACATAGCACATTCAAGGCTGACCTGAACTATATAGCAAGACCTTGTGTCAGAAAACCAGCAGGGGTAGGGGACACGCAAACACACATCCAGGACCCTTGACTGTAGTGTAATTTTATTAGAAATAAATAACAAAGTCCCTAAACATTACTAATTTTAAAAACCACTCATGATTTATTTAAAATATATGAAAATTAAATCAGGCATGATGGTGCATCCCTTTAATTCCAGCACTGAGTAGACTGAGGCAGGAGGATCACCACAGTTTCAAGGTCATCCTGGGCTACATAGTAAGTTCAAGATGAGCCTGAACCACGTAGCAAGATCTTGTCTCAACTAAGTGATTTTTTAAAAATTTGTGCTTATGTTCTTTTTCATTCCTAGTTTTTTTATGTCCCCTTTTGTTGAGAATTTTCAGAGGTGTGTCAATTATCATTTTAAATTTTGCTAATTTGGGGGTTCATTGATACTCTCTACTAGGTGATTTCTATTACTTTATACTTTTTCTAACTAAAATCATGTAATGTTCTAAAGCTCACACTGTACTTCTGTAATACCTAAGGCTTTGTAAGTTTGCTTCAAATTAAGATCATTATAACTCATTTTTGAATATCTAATCTTCATATATTTTATTTATTTTTGGGAGACAGTCTCCCTATGTAATTAATTCTTTTTAAACAACATGAACAGAGGTAGGTGTGGTAACATACCTTTAATCCCAGTACTCTGGGAGGCTGAGACCAAAGAATTGCAAGTTCAAGTCCGTCCTGGGCAATTTAGTGAGACTTGTCTCAAAATTAAAAGGGCTGAGTTCAGTCCTCAGTACTGCCAAAAAAAAAGAACATGGGCAACTCAGGTGCAGTGATGCTCATCTATTGTGCCAGCTACTAGAGATGCTGACGCTAGAAGGTCGCTTGCGCCCAGGACTTCAAGGCCAGTCTGGGCAGCATAGTGAGATGCTACCTAGAAAAAGAATGTGAACAGTTTATGCTAATACATTTGAAACAAAAGAAACAAATTCCTAGGATAACATAATTTACTAATACTCAAGTAGGAAGACTGGTTAGTTTTATAACCATTAAATATATTGACTCTCAATAGTAAAAAATATTCCTATAAAGAAAATATCTGCCCTTTCAGGCATGGTGGCCTATGGCTATAGGCTGAGACACAAGGATCACAATTTTGAGGCCAATATGGGCAATTGAGTGACAGCCTGTCTCAAAATTTAAAAATAAAATAGACTGGCTGGGCGTGGTGGCACACGCCTGTAATCGCTGAGGCAGGAGGATCGTTGTGAGTTTGAGACCAGCCTGGGCTACAAAGTGAGCTCGAGGCTAGCCTGAACTGCACAGCAAGACCCTGTCTCAAAAAGACAAAAATAAAATAAAATAAAATAAAATAAAATAGGCTAGCGTTTTACTACATACCCTGGGTTCAATCCCAAGTGCCAGCCCCTCCACCCCCCCCAAAAAAATTAGAAGAAAACCAAAAAAAAACCGATCCTAAATGGTTTAACAAATGCGTTCTACCACCACCATTCCCATACTGAGGATTGAACTAAGCTACATCCCCAGGCCTTTTTTGAGACAAAGTCTTACTGAGTTGCTAAATTGTCCAGGCTGGGCTTGAATTTGTAATCCCTTGGCCTAAGCTTCCCAAAGTGCTTGAGATTATAAGTCTGTGCCACCATGCTGGACTTCACATTTTTAATAGGTAATTATTTTACTTCTGCTTCCAGAGAATGGGGAAAAAAAGGAAAACTGTTTTCATAACCAAAGAAGGATAATATGAGAAAGTAATATACTTTTCCTATTCTACTTATGAACAGTAATACAAAAGTGATCATAATATTAAGAAATATATCTAGCAGAATACAAAAACATACAATTGATCCTAAATTGGGCTTATCCCTAGGACTGCAGGAGTGATTTTCTATTATAAAATCTGCAGATGTAATCATTCATTATGCATTTTAAGCAGAAAAACTATATATCAAGAGGTGCAGAACAGAGAATTAGATAATGTTCAGCAGCTTTTTTTTCTTTTTTCTTTTTGAGAGCGGTTTCACTATGTAGTGCAGGCTGGCCTTGAACTCACTTTGTAGTCCAGGCTGGCCTGGAACTCAAAACGATCCTCCTGCCTCAGCCGTCCGAATGCTGGTATTATAGGTGTACACCACCATACCTGGCCCCCTTCATTTTTTTAAATCTGTTTTTAACAGCTTCATTATTAACAGCTCGTACCAAATCATGTGTGTTGGTATGGAGTTACAATAAGAAATGTTAGGTGCAGTTACTGGGATTACTGGGCCTCCTAGAGAACCTGTGGTCCCCCTGGTATAGGGAAAAGATAGGGCATGGATAGGAACAGAAGCACACGAAAAGGAATTCTGCCTCCTGGAGAGTCTTTGACAGTTTGTTTGTATTTTGCCTTTTTCTAGAGACCATGGCGAGCCCAGGGAAAGACAATTATCGAATGAAGAGCTATAAGAACAATGCCCTAAACCCTGAAGAAATGAGGCGAAGAAGAGAGGAAGAAGGCATTCAGCTCCGAAAGCAGAAGCGGGAGCAACAAGTGAGTTGCTGAGTACCCTCAAAACGTACCATTCAGGAAAACACTCCAGCCTCTGTGGTGGGCCTTCACTTTGCTCACTGACCTTTCCCTTAGGAAAATTCAGCTTAGCTACTTAGTAGGGCAGTCATCCATTTTCTTTTTCTTTGCTTTCATCACATTGGAGTCAGTATTAGATCTGGCTTTCAAGGTCCAGCTCCATACCCGGTCCCTCAGGAGGCTTACTAACCATTCTGAGCTTTACTAACCATTCTATTTTTTTGAGTCTGTGTTTTGTGGGTATTCCTAGGACTGAAACTACTAATGTGACACCACCTGCTCTCCCACCACTCAGGCCTTCCCACCCCTGATGGGTACTGCTCATGTCTAGGCTTGATCACCCATTCTGCTTTTGCCTATCCTCTTGATAATATACCATCAGTCTTCCAGAGCCTTCTTACCCATAATTTTTTACACAAATGGCAAAGAAATTTTTTAAAGTTTTTTCCTTATAAAAAATGTTCTTGGTCTGGGGATATAGCTCAGCGGCACAGCACCTCCCTGGCAAGTGCAAGGTCCAAAGTTTGATTCCCAGTACCAAAAAAATGTTCTTAAAAGATGTGGGGGGAAAAAACAAAAAAAAAAGATGTGAACAGTTAGATAACATAGAAAGTAAGGCTGTTCAATGACTTTCCATGTCAGTATTATGAAGCTTAGCCTTCTTTTCTCAATTACCCCAGCTCAGTGATGGTGAACCTTTCAGAGCTTTCAGTGATACAGACATCCCACTGCAGCACGCATGCAGTAGGTTCACCACCACTGCCTCGCACACCTTTGTCTCTTAGGCCGTACTTTGCACTGGATTCTTTGTTTTCTTTGGTTCAGTGAATAGTACTACTATTGTCTCTTCACTTTACTTTCAGCTTTTTAAAAGGAGAAATGTGGAACTGATTAATGAAGAAGCTGCCATGTTTGATAGTCTCCTCATGGACTCCTACGTGAGCTCTACCACTGGGGTAAGGCCCTTGCATGTGCCTGAGACAGGCCTGGAACATACCTGTTTCCACAGAACATAAATTGGGTGGTTCATGTCATCTAGTAGTTTTGTCGGTAATGCTAAGCTCTTTCTTCCGAAAGTCCTTCTGTAGATGGTCAGCTTAAAAAGTCAATAAATATCCTCTTTTGATAGAAATATACTTGAGGAAACATTAAGGGAAGCATCAGTTAGTTGTGTCAGAGATTAGGAAGCACTGTTGAATGCCCAAAGTTGAAACAAGCATGGATTAAATAAACCCCTTCCGAGCCTGTTTCTTATGCCATCCTTTCACCCTAAAGTCTTAGAAAGCAGGATAACATGCTCATACCTGGCTACAGTGTTGGTTTGCAAAGTTCTAAACCTGTTTTTATTCTAGGAGAGTGTGATCACAAGAGAGATGGTGGAGATGCTCTTCTCTGATGATTCTGACTTGCAATTAGCAACCACACAGAAATTTCGGAAACTGCTCTCCAAAGGTACAGAGTTTGCTTCCTCTCAGAGAAGCTCCACATGATTTAGTCTCTTGTTTCTCATCATTGACCTCATCACCTTCTCTCTGAGTTGAGTGTGCAGATGCAGAATCCTGAATATAGAGGGCCAGCTGTACTTATTACCTTCTATCAATAGAATGTGTCTCCCCACTTGGTTATAAACCTAACGAGGGCAGAGACTTCGGGTTTTGTTTACTACTGTATCTTCAGTACCTTGAGCTAGGGGCACATAGTAATTTTAGAAATTGGGCTGGGCATGGTGGTACACGCCTGTAATCCCAGCACTCGGGAGGCTGGCAGGAGGATCACTGAGTTTGAGGCCAGCCTGCGCTACAAAGTGAGTTCAAGGCCAGTCTGAACTGTATAGCAAAACCTTGTCTCAAAGAGACAAGAAAGAAATTGGGGAATGAGCATGGAGGCAAACACCTATAATCTCAGCACCAGGGAGGCTGAGACAGGATTATCGAGAGTTCAAGGCCAACCTAGA